CCCCCCCAACTCGTATACAAGCAAGTCTAAACCTAATTTGGAGGAGATCTAACATATTTTTTAGGGAGAACACGTCACTTTGGAGGAGGAGAACATAAACCACGCTTGGAGCAAGGATTCTCAGTTTTTCATCTCTTCTCTTCTTTTAGTCTCATAGTTTATTAATTCTAGTATTTTGGGTGTTGCATGAACGTTGTAGTTTGAAGCTAAAATTATTCTTATTATTTTATCATATTGGTTTATTTATTCAATCTTGCACTTAATTATTTGATTGCTTGATCACCAATTAAATACTATCTACGAATCTAGGACTGAACTCGGGAGAGGGAATTCTAGATTGCATATAATATTGAGTAGAGTAAGATCTTGAACTCGAGCATCGAGAACGGATTTGCAGTTAGGATAGGAATATACCTAATCGTCTTGCTTGGTTGTTATACGAAAATTATTGATGTGTTCTTGTTAATCCTAATTCCATAGGAATATAGGCATTAGGTTAGCTTGAATAGGCGAGTAGTACTTCGGGAGAAGACTACGAGCAATATTAACCCTGTCAATCAATAAATCAAATAAATTAATTAGACGATTTAAGTGGAAAACTCAACGGGATTGTTAGCTAACCCATAACTCTGGAATATTTTCTCCCATTGAATTCATCTTTAGGATTGTAGACTTATTTTCTTTAATTTCTTAGTTTTCGACTCTAGATTAGTTGTAGTTAATAATCTTTAGAAAAGCGCTTGAATAGATTAATTGTCTTAGTTTAATTTAGTAAATAGTTAATCACAAGTCCATGTGGGTATGATATCTGGACTTACAATTCTATATTACTTGTCGACCACGTATACTTGCGTGTGCGTTTTGGAGCAACAATAAGAAAGCAAATGACAGTGAGAAACAATTTGTATCAAAACACAGAAATGGACACATAATATACCATTTGCCATATAACTACTTGATCGGCTTGAGTTGTACTGGGAATGAAAGACATAGATAGCCTGCACCAAGATAGACAATCATCAAATTAGATGACCCAAGATGGATGCATGTCCTCTGTTAGCTTTCACTACTATGCTTTGTACCATAAGCATGTATAGAATCTTACAGAAGTGCACTTCGACGAAGGCACCCAGAAATTCGAGCTATCAGTGTCAAAGCGTACGGTGAACGTTTGAGCTGGATTGCCTATTGAAATCTCTCCAAAGTATTCAGTATTCATATAGTTCTTCAATGATGTAACACCTGGAGCCTCCTCTAAGTCCCTACGGAAGTTATACTTCCTAATAGACGCCCTCAAAGCGTCCCCCTCCTTGGACTCATTGCGAGAACCAAGTCTGTCGTTTTGATCAAGTTTCGGCTTTTTCAGCATGGTTTGTGTTATCCAAGCTTGAGAGCGATGGTGAAGGTGGAGATGGAGGTGGAGGGGATAAATTGAGTCTATCCCATAATTCAGAACAATTAGATTTCCAAAAACCAATTAATTCTTTTATTTTCACAATCGTAAGTAACAAGAGTGTTGCGAACAACGATTCCTGTTGCAATTAAAAGCATGCATGTTACAGAACCGAAGAGCTAGGACGATGAACTTTGTCAAGTTGTTAGAAATACCTCCAAGAAGACGAATTAGATTCTTTCCATTTGGGAAGTGCTTTATAGCATACAAGTTACAATGGAGAAGGGGAAAATTAATCAATACTAAATCGTAAAAAGAAAAAGAAGCCAGTATATGTGACGCCAAAAAGTGTCGGCAAGATAGTTAAGGAAGTACTAAAACAGAATAAAATGCCTACCTGAAAAAGTAGTTTTCAGGAGAGAGTTAATTTCTTTCCATCGCTGAATACCATGTCGTCATGCGAAAAGTTCTTTGAGAGTTGTGATATGTCGCTGGAATATATATATGAGATATTAAATAATATTGGTAACACCAACAATAGGAAAAAAAATTAAACAATAAAATCATAGACGTCAAATTAGTTTTGGAACTCTTCTTATAAATACCTTCTAGTACCAAAAAAGCAGATATCTTTAAAACTAAGATCTGGCCCTTCGATCTGTTTAATTAGAGAATGAAGCTCTTTCGTTACCTGAAAAGAAAAGTTCAAGAGGTTCATCCCAAAAAGGAAAAGACTTAGTTTATCTAAAGTTAATAGCCATAAGTAACATACTGTATAAATTCACAATCAGTGACTCCACATTTCCTTCACTAAATGTAACACAGCAAAAGCAATGAAAGATAACATCAAAGATATGCAGAAACTTGCAAGGAACTCTGTAGATGTCGAAAATTACTACTTGTTAACATTGGCAGAACGAATCAAACAAAACATTGGAAAATATGTAGATAAACTATATCTTACAGCATTCTTGAAAGCTGCAAATGTTGCTTCTCGAAGGTAAGCATAGGTGGTACCACTATCAAGTATAGTCCCATGTTTTCCACCAAAAACCCGCGGATTTAGGTTCAGCGACATGTATCTAGGGGTGGGCATATATCGGTTAGAACCGAAAAAACCGACCGAACCGAAAATATTTTTATTTTGGTTTCGGTTATTCGGTCTTTTCGGTCGGTTTCAATTTTAAAATTTTAAAATTCAGTTTTTCGGTTCGGTCATCGGTTATTAATTTATTTTGTTCGGTTAACCGAAAAATCGAATTATTAGCAAATAGATTCTTTAAACTATATATAGGCTAAGCCCAATATAACAAATATTATACCCAATTTTAAGGTCCATTAAAGACGGCCCACTCTTAACAAATACTAGGCCCACACTTAAAGACTTTTAAGCTTGTCATCAGCTTTTGTTTTTCCCATTCCTAAGATTTTCCCAAATACGCATACGCTAGGGTTCTTTTTCTTCAAACTTCTCTCTCTAGTCTCTATCACCATTGATACACTGGTGTGCAGTGTGCTTGTGCCGATAAGTTTAATTTTTGTTATATTTCTCTCATTGCTTCTTTTTTGTTCTCTATCCTCGCCGATCTTCTCTTCTTTCTCTCATTTTAGTAAATTTTGTCTTCTTTTTTTCTGCTAAAAATTAGTAGTTAAAGACTTAAAGGCGCATGTATATTGTTGAAATAAGTCTTGACTCTTGAATTTGATGTCCATTTTTTGTCTCCTTGCTCGGTTATTATTTCTGTTTCCTCATTTAATTTTGTGCTTGTTTCTGTCTCATCCTCTAACTTCCGTTTTCGCATTATTATAGCTTAGTGTTTTATTGTTCTGTTTGTATTTGTTTTCGTAGACGGAAGAAAATGGAAGTAGGGTAAGTGAAGCCTACGAAGGTGGGGGTTCAAATGATAGCATACCTAACACTGAATGTCTCAGTCTTGATGAAGCTCCAAAGAAAAGGAAAGTCATGCAACCTAGATCTGATGCTTGGAACTATTTTGAGAAGTATGATGATCCTAGTGGAGCTAAAAGAGCAAAATGTAAGTATTGTGAAAAAACTTATGCAGCTGCTACGAAAGGTAATGGTACTACATCAATGAACAATCATCTCACTAAGTGTCCCAAAATGCCCCGTAAAATAGAAAATAGTCAAACACAACTAAGTTTTCTACTAGCTTCAAATGGGCCAAATGAAGGGGTGCTTACCACTTGAAAATTTGATCAAGCACTTAGTAGGAGAGCTTTAGCTCAAATGATAATTTTGGATGAACTGCCATTTAGTTTTGTTGAAAAGGAAGGATTTAAGAAGTTTATAGGAGTCACAATACCTCAATTTCAAATTCCTTCTCGTAGAACATTGACAAGAGATTGTTATGAACTTTATTGTGAACAAAGACAAAGTTTGAAGAAGTCCTTCAATGAAGCACGTCCAAAAATCTGTCTTACAACAGATACTTGGACTTCTATACAAAGAATAAACTATATGTGTCTTACTGCTCACTTTATTGACAACGATTGGAAATTGCATAAAAGGATAATAAACTTTTGTCCTATCTCTAGTCATAAGGGTAATGATATGGCGGCGGTTATTACTAATTGCTTGCTTGATTGGGGTTTGGAAAATATATTTACTATAACGGTAGATAATGCTAGTTCCAATGATGTCACAGTAAGAGAAGTGTCTAAACAATTGACTACTTGGGGAACTAATATAATGAATGGTAAACATCTGCATGTTATATGTATGGCTCACATACTTAATCTCATTGTACAAGATGGGTTGAAAGAAATTGGTATTTCTATCAAGAGAGTTAGACAAGCTGTGAGATACATTAGACTATCTCTCGCTAGGATTAGAAAGTTTAAAGAATGTTGTGAATCTCAAAAGTTAACTTCCAAGAGAATATTATGCTTAGATGTTTCTACTCGATGGAACTCTACATACATGATGTTAGACACAGCACAACAATTTGAGCTTGCCTTTGACAAATATAGTTTCTTTGATACTAGATTGTTGCATCATCTTCGTACCTATGTATGTGAAGATGGAACTAGTGCAGGTGATCTCACAAGTGCTGACTGGGATAATGTGAGAATAATGGTAAAATTTCTTGAAGCTTTTTATTTGCTTACTTTGAGGGTCTCTGGTTCTATTTATGTCACTTCCAATGTATATTTTGTTGAAATTTGTGAGCTTGATCTTATTTTGAAAGAGTGGATGGAACATGAAGATGCTAGTTTGAAAGAAATGGCAAAAAAAATGAAAGAAAAATTTGTCAAGTATTGGGGTGAACCTGAAAAAATGAACAATATGATCTTTATTGCATCAATTTTGGATCCCCGTAACAAGCTTGACTATGTTCCTTTTGCAATTGTGAGGATGTTTGGAGAAAAAGAAGGGAAGAAATTGATTTTAGAAGTGAAAAATTATATGGATTCTTTGTTTGATTATTATGTAAAGAAAAATTCAAAAGGATCTACATCTGCTTCATCTGAAAATACAACAGCTACCATGAGTGGTTATGGTAGCTTTTTGAAAAGAGGAACAATGAGAACGAAATTGGAATTTGAGAAACATAAGGAAGTGACAGGAGGCTTAGGTGCTAAATCAGAGTTAGATAGATATCTTGCTGAAGATATTGAGCCCGAAACAGATGAGTTTAAAATCTTAAAGTGGTGGAAAATCAATGAGCCTAGATTTCCCATTCTTGCGGAGATGGCTCGTGATGTGTTAGCCATTCCTATTTCAAGTGTTGCATCAGAATGTGCATTCAGTACTGGAGGTCACATTCTTGACTCGTTTAGGAGTTCGTTGACGCCTAAACTGGTGCAATCTCTTATTTGTCTTCAAGATTGGCTTAGAAGTGAACCTATTCCTATTAAAGTTGAGGAAGACTTGGAGTATCTAGAACAACTGGAACTTGGTAATTATTTTGTGTTTTGCATTTATTATATTACAAATAGTTTACTTAACACTGATGCATGACAAAGTTTTCTTCAATATTTTCCTTAGATTTGGCAAATTGTGCAAAAGATTCAACTATTATTGACATATAGTTGCAACCTGTGGCATGTGTGGTAAGTTGATAACCTTCTGTATATTTGATGATATAACATTGATATACTTTATTATAAATCAATTGTGTTTTTGACTTATAATTATGTCTTTTTTGCAAAGGTTTGATCATGGCGCCTAAATGGAACTTACAGATTATGTATCATTTTCATAAATGCTTAGATCAACAAGTAAATAGACAAGTAGTAAATAGACAAGTGATGCTGCAGTAATAACTTGCTAGTGAGCTCTTTTGGTAGACAAGCTGATGCTGCAGTAGTACTTAATGTAGTTATTTTATTGATTTTGAGACTTCAGCAACATGAAAACTTTCTAACTTCTCGATTTCTCTTTTGGTTATGTAATATTGCTTGTACTAAACAGTGATTTCATACTAGCTGCTCAAGCTAACTTTTGGATATAATGAATGAAGTTTATGTGCAAATTATCACATTGGCATATTTCTAGATTTTTGGCAGCAAAGCAGTATAGATTCTGGATTTTTTGTTCTCTCATGGCTGAATATTGGACATATGTTGCTGCATATTGAATTTGATATGGGTATTTTATTTCTTGATTATGTGCAAATTATCACATTGGCATGTGATTTTATAAATAAACTAGATGGCTGCTGCTTTTCGAGCTCCTGTTGGTGGTCTGCTGTTCGCTCTAGAAGAAATGGCATCTTGATATATTTTAAAAAATGTACATGCTTTTATTTGATTCTTGGTAGACCAAAAGGTTTTTGGGAGATAATAGTCCTTATCGTTATATTTGTGTTACTAAGATTATAGTATATTTTCTCTACAAATCAGATTTTTTAATCAAGAATACTCCTCAGCAACACAAATCAGATTTATATAAATAAAAGAACAGATTTATGATTTATCACATTCAAGCAACACAAGTAGTCCGAAATTTTGGA